CTTAGTGAAAATGAGTTTGGCATCCCTGCTGCAGAGTTAAAGATGTACAAACTACTTTTGCACTTTAAACCTAAGGCCCATCCAGACAGTAACTTTATTGTGATATCTACTGCAATAAAGGAGGGGCTGTCCAGACAACCTTCTGGACAGTCCTGAATTAATTCACTACAAACCAGGAAAACCCTGGTTTGTACCAAATTAATTAGATAGTGGGTTCAAACCCACTACTTACATTGTCTGCACTACAGTCTAGACACCATTCCCACAGTTTACCGGGCTAAATAAGCCCGGCAAACTGTGGGAATTTATTTATTTATTTATTTTGCGCATTTCTACCCTGCCCTTCTCAACCCCTGAGAGGGGACTCAGGGCGGCTTACAGAAGGCACAATTCAATGCCAGCAATACAATAGTAAGATAAAATATATATCAGCAACAATTAAACAATTAAAACAATCCAGTTATACAGAACAACTAATAAAAATCAATCTAATGATTGATCCTCCCCCGAAGCCCCTAGACCCCTTCTCTCCCCCCCCCCCTCTCCTAGTGCATCATTTCTATGTGCTGGGAGAGCTGCTCAAAGCCTGTAATGGATACCAGGTATGTTTTCATTACTTTTCAAAGGGGTCATGGGGCTTTGGGGGAGGGGGGAGGGCCTCTAGACATTCTACCAGGCTAGTCCTGGGAGAACATCTGGACACCCATTCCAGAAAGCGCGTTATCGGGGGGGAGGTGAACAGGCCCCCAGGAAAATCTGGATTTTTTAAACAAGGATTCCCCTGGGATAAAGGCCTGTCTGGATCCGCCCCTGTTGTTCATTCGTTCAGTCCTCTCCGACTCTTCGTCACCTCATGGACCAGCCCACGCCAGAGCTCCCTGTCGGCCGTTACCACCCCCAGCTCCCTCAAGGTCAGTCCAGTCACTTCAAGGATGCCATCCATCCATCTTGCCCTTGGTCGGCCCCTCTTCCTTTTGCCTTCCACTTTCCCCAGCATAATTGTCTTCTCTAGGCTTTCCTGTCTCCTCATGATGTTGCCAAAGTACTTCAACTTTGTCTCTAGTATCTTTCCCTCCAGTGAGCAGTCGGGCTTTATTTCCTGGAGGATGGACTGGTTGGATCTTCTCGCAGTCCAAGGCACTCTCAGCACTTTCCTCCAACACCACAGCTCAAAAGCATCGATCTTCCTTCGCTCAGCCTTCCCTAAAGTCCAGCTCTCACATCCGTAGGTGACTACAGGGAATACCATGGCTTTGACTAGGCGGATCTTTGTTGCCAGTCTGATGTCTCTACTCTTCACTATTTTATCGAGACTGGACATTGCTCTCCTCCCAAGAAGTAAGCGTCTTCTGATTTCCTGGCTACAGTCTGCATCTGCAGTAATCTTTGCCCCTAGAAATACAAAGTCTGTCACGGCCTCCACGGTTTCTCCTTCTATTTTCCATTTGTCAATCATTCTTGTTGCCATAATCTTGGTTTTTTTGACGTTTAGCTGCAACCCAGCTTTTGCGCTTTCTTCTTTCACCTTGATTAGAAGGCTCCTCAGCTCCTCCTCGCTTTCGGCCATCAGAGTGGTGTCATCTGCATATCTGAGGTTGTTAATGTTTCTTCCAGCAATTTTCACCCCAGCCTTGCATTCATCAAGCCCCGCACATCGCATGATGTGTTCTGCATACAAGTTAAAAAGGTTGGGTGAGAGGATGCAGCCTTGCCGTACGCCTTTCCCAATCTTGAACCAGTCTGTTGTTCCGTGGTCAGTTCTGACTGTTGCTACTTGGTCCTTGTGCAGATTCCTCAGGAGAGAGACAAGGTGGCTTGGGATGCCCATCCCACCAAGAACTTGCCACAATTTATTATGATCCACACAGTCAAAGGCTTTAGAATAGTCAATGAAACAGAAATAGATGTTTTTCTGAAATTCCCTGCCTTTCTCCATTATCCAGCGGATATTGGCAATTTGGTCTCTCGTTCCTCTGCCTTTTCTAAACCCAGCTTGAACATCTGGCAACTCTCGCTCCATGTATTGCTGGAGTCTTCCTTGCAGGAGCTTGAGCATTACCTTACTGGCATGAGAAATAAGGGCCACTGTACGGAAGTTTGAGCAGTCTTTCGCATTTCCCTTTTTTGGTATGGGGATATAAGTTGATTTTTTCCAGTCTGATGGCCATTCTTGTGTTTTCCATATTTGCTGGCATATGGCATGCATCACTTTGACAGCATCATCTTTTAAGATTTTAAACAGTTCAGCTGGGATCCCGTCGTCTCCTGCTGCCTTGTTGTTAGCAATGCTTCTTAAGGCCCATTCAACCTCACTCCTCAGGATGTCTGGTTCTAATTCCTTCACCACACCGTCAAAACTATCCTCAATATTATTATCCTTCCTATACAGATCTTCTGTATAGTCTCGCCACCTTCTCTTGATCTCTTCAGCTTCTGTTAGGTCCCTGCCATCTTTGTTTCTTATCATACCAATTTTTGCCTGAAATTTACCTCCAATGTTTCTAATTTTCTGGAAGAGGTCTCTTGTCCTTCCTATTCTGTTGTCTTCTTCCACTTCCATGCATTGCTTATTTAAAATAGTTCCTTATCTCTTCTGGCTAACCTCTGGAATTGCGCATTTAACTGGGCATATCTCCCCTTATCCCTGTTTCCTTTTGCTTTCCTCCTTTCTTGGGCTACTTCCAGTGTCTCAGCAGACAACCATTTTGCCTTCTTGTTTTTCTTTTTCTTTGGGACGTACTTTGTTGCCGCCTCCTGAACAATGTCGCGGACTTCTGTCCATAGTTCTTCTGGGACTCTGTTTACTAAATCTAGTCCTTCAAATCTGTTCTTCACTTCCACTGTATATTCGCTAGGAATGTTAGTGAGATCATATCTAACTGGTCTGCGTATTTTTCCTGATCTCTTTAGTTTTATTCTAAATTGAGCAATAAGAAGTTCGTGATCTGAGCTACAGTCAGCCCCAGGTCTTGTTTTCACCGACTGGATGGATGTCCGCCACCTTTGGCTGCAAAGGATGTAGTCAATCTGATTTCGGTGTTGACCATCTGGTGAGGTCCATGTATACCGTCTCTTAGGTTGTTGGAAGAGAGTATTCGTTATACACAGCGAGTTTTCCTGGCAAAATTCTATCAGCCTGCGTCCCGCTTCATTTTGTTCTCCCAGACCATGCTTGCCTGTGATCCCAGTTGTCATTTGACTTCCCACCTTGGCATCCCAGTCTCCTGTAATGAAAATAATGTCTCTTTTTGGTGTATTATCCAGTAGGTCCTGCAGATCCTCATAGAACTGATCTACTTCTGCTTCTTCAGCAGCTGTGGTTGGGGCGTATATTTGGATCACTGTAATGTTGAAAGGCTTTCCTTGCACTCGAATTGAGATCATTCTGTCATTTTTTGGGTTGTATCCAAGCACCGCTTTCGCGAATTTCTTATTAATTATGAAGGCTACTCCATTTCTTCGATGTTCCTCTTGTCCGCAGTAGTAGATCTGGTGGCCATCTGATGTGAAGTGGCCCATTCCAGTCCATTTCAGTTCGCTGACCCCCAGAATGTCTATCTTTAGTCTTGACATCTCACCAATAACAACATCCAATTTGCCCTGGCTCATAGATCTTACATTCCAGGTTCCTATGGTGTGTTGATCTTTAGAGCATCGGATTCGTCGTTCACCTCCAGTACCGTCAGCCGCTAGCCTTCCTTTCGGCTTTGAGCTAGCTGTGTCATCACATCTGGGGCTAGTTGAACTTATCCTCTGCTCCTCCCCGGTAGCATTTTTGCCATCTTCTGACCTGGGTGTCCTATCTTCCAATGGCATACCGACATCTCTCTGGTTGTACTGGTCCATTTAGTTTTCTTGGCAAGGATACTGGGGTGGTTTGCCATTGCCTTCCCCAGGGATCACGCTTGGTCTGACCTCTCTGCCACAACCGTCCCGTCTTGGGTGGCCCTTCACGGTTTCGCTCATGACATCATTGAGGTGCTCAAGCTCCAGCGCCCCGACAAGGCGGTGATCCTTTGCTGGAGTCCGTCCCTAGTTTGCAGCAATGCAGGGCAAAGGGGAGAGGAGAAGGAAATGTAGACATTTTAAAAGCAGCTGGAAAAAGTTACTGACTGAGTATTAATTGGGACTGTATTTGCCATACATTTGGACATTTGGATGGTATGAAGGTGCCAAAAACCCTCACTTTTTGTCCTGCTTCCTTCCTTTTGTCATCATGGCTTTTATAAACCTAACAGAGCACATCAGAAACCTTTCCTGTTTTGCAGAGGTCCTGACAGTGCGGGAGAGCTTGCCTATTTCCAGAAAATTAAAAAAAGAAATATATCCAAAGTGTAAGGCAACCCTGAGCCATGAAACATTTTTCTGAATGATCATCAATAAGGCAAGAACAAACTACAAAGAATTCCAGAGAGGAATCCTCTAATTACAGCAATCCCAATTTGCCCATAAAAAATAAATCTAGCTGCCAATACAAATAAAACTAGTTGTTATTCAAATATATCGAATTCATTTAACTTGTGATTTTTATCACATTATTCTGGAAATGAGGAGAAGGACAAAAGCCCAAGCCCAAAACTCTTCTATATTTTCTGACTGTTGTAGTATAGGAAAAAAATGTCATTTTTTGTTTTTCTTAATTTGCAATGTGACACTGTGTATACAGAATGAGGCAATTGCTTCAGATTGTAGGTGTCAGGGGTAACAGTAGTAGCTTCCTGCCTGTATTAAAGGAGAGCCGAACTGTGAATACCACACTATAACCTCTCCTTGTCCCTTAAACTCATTAGAGACTGCATCACATTGGGGCTAGGATTCACCACGCATCATGGTGAATGAGGTTGAGGGGTGGGGAGGCCATCGTCCTGTGCCCCACTTTGCCCAGCTTCCCCCTTTCCCCACCCTACAGGGGGAACCATCTGCCACCCGGCTCCCTCCCTCCCCTGGGTATTTCCTATGCAACATGGGAAGCTTCCCGTATTGCCACCATGGCAGCTTACCACGTTTTCACTTCACTTGTGTCAGGAAGCCCAGCTGGAAGTAGACTGATGTTGTGGGATGGGAGTCAAAGGACTCTGTGCTGCAAGTGAAGTGGAAGTGTTGTCCAATGAGCAGTTTTGCACAACTGATGAGGTTGCTAGTGTTCAATTTAAGTGCATATATTTTGTATGTAAACTGAGAAGGAAACACTGGGTGCATCTACAATGAAGAATTAATGCTGTTTGACACCACTTTAACTGCCATGGCTCAATATTATGAAATCCTTGGAGTTGAAGTTTGGTGAAGCACCAGCATTCTTTGGCAGAGAAGACAAAAACTACAGCTCCACTACATTTAACAAGTAAACTACATTTACTTCTTTGCCTTTGGAAGTAAAATACCTTCAGCACATTCTGCCCCTATGAATATTCCATAATAATCCCTTTACTGCTAATTCCCAAAGGTCTTCTGAAATTACCACTAGGTGCCACTGAGACCAATACGATAGATTTCTAAGCAAATGTTTATAGGATTCGGATATTAATAAGAAAAAAACCAGATGGAGAGCGAATTGTAGATCTTCTTACAATTATGCATCTCTGGTGGATAGGCACATTTTCTGGCTGCTACCAAAGACAGAATGATGACTGCTAGTCTCGTGTCTGTTCATGAATTCACTTTTTCTCAACAAAATGCATCAAAGGGTGGTGGGGGGGGGGGACGACGACAAAAAACGCTTGTCCAGAGTCCCACAGTACTGAATAAAATACATCACATTGTCCATAAACTCAGGAATATATATCTAGCCAAACCTATCTAAAATGAGATGCAGCATTAGCAATATGGAAGGCCTCCACAAGGTAGGCAATAAAAGGAGATATACTATAGTTCTTGACATCAGATTGTTTCAAGCTTAATTTCAGTAAAGTAATAAGGTCAGGGAGAGAACTGCACAGCAATGCACAGATTGATTGTAAGACCTGGAAAAGATGGAATTCTCTCTGGATTTAAACTATCTTTTGGCTTCCTTGGAGGATAAAGGGATGTACATAAACCGTAGTCTATGCAGAATTGTAAACCTAATGTATAAAAGGAAGAACAGTAAGCTTTACTCTGCAGTTTAACTTGGCTATTGGTTTCTTAAAATAAAGAGATACAATAATGCATACATTAAAAGATGATGTGTGAGAGAGCAAACTGCCCCAATATGTTCTTCATCATGGTTGGAAATGGTCTGTTGCCAAGTTTTTTGTGCTGCCCTGGAAAACATGCAAAAATTTCAGCTGACCACAACATTCTGAAACTTTATTTTTTACAATAACCAATTGTCATCTAGGATGGGAGACAATGATTTGGCTGAGTTGCCCTTGCTGCCTCCTTGTCTATGAGTCCATTTCAAGACTTTGGTTATCTTTATTGCTGTGGATATAATGATGAAGTATTATTATAACTCAAAAATAATCTGAATTTGTTATTGAAATGGCCAGGTTTGCAAATGACCTCACATCATCCATAGCTTCTCTGACAGCACTTTAATCTGGTTCATCAAAGTTTTATTCATCTGTTCTTCTTCCAATGCATCATAGGTGATCATCTACCAACAGTGTGCCTTACAGTCTCGAATATCCCTTGGGTACTTCCTCCCAAGGGATATTAGATTAACCCCTCACTCCTGACCTTCCGAAGGAAAGTAAAAACCTGGCTTTTTGAACTAGCCTTTGGGAATGCCGTGCTATGTACAATCATAGATTTATATGGAACTGAATTGGAAGGGCTCAGATGATGTTTCTTGGACAATGAGATGAACAGTAAAGGCATTGGTTTTACATGTTTTAATGGTTTTTATTGTATGATTGTATTAATGGTTTAAATGTTTTATATTTTATACTGTATATGGTTATGGCATCGAATAGCTGCCTATGTTGTAAAGCCGCCTTGAGTCATCTTCGAGCTTGAGAAAGACGGGATAGAAATACATAAATAAATGGTGGCTGCAATATCAGTGGGACACCACACACACTCTATGTTTTAGCTTGGATTTTAAAGGGCTATACAGAGTACTGAACCCTAAACAGGTTCACCCTCTTGAATAACTCCTTTAAAACCTGGATTCAGTGCCCATATGATTTGGAAGTTGCTAACATTTATTTATTTATGCATTTACTTCACAACCCTCAAGTCAGCTTTACATACAGGCAAGTATTCAATGCCTTGAAACATATAATTAAAATAATTGTTAACATTAAAATTGAAATTAATACACATTAAAATGTTTAAACATTAAAACAGTAATTCTACGCCGGGGGGAGTGATCATGTTGGCCTCTAGATACTGCAAGATTGCAACTTTCAACATTCCTCACCATTGACTAGGGCTGATGAGAATTACAATTCTGCAACATCAGAAGAGCTGCTTAATTCCCACCCCTGTTCAACACTAAGGAATTTAATGGAGACAAATTTGAGATCAGGAATAGTAATATTGGGGCAGGGAGGGCAGGGAGAAAACATAGCAGTCTCCCAAGACACTGTGAGTACCCTTAATGTATCCATTCTTGTTCAAAGGAACTGGAAAGGAGGTCTGCAAGATGAAACCATTGTTCTTCTATTTATTATGAACTTCAGTTCTTTGACCTGTTGCTTGAAATAAAGACAGGTTTCTGTTCACACTATGGCTGGCATTCTGTTAGTGGCTTATGCACATATGGATACAACTTATGTGCATGTAAGAGGCATGTAATAATGTCCTTACACTTTTTCAAAGAACTGCCCATGTCCACCAGTTATCAAGCCCTGAAGGGGCTGCTGCTGCTCCTTCTTAACTGAGGCTCCATCTAAACTGACCATATAATCAAGTTTCTGAATGCAGATTATCTGATTTAAATTGGATAATGAGTCTACACAGCCATATAATCCAGTTAAAGCAGAAAATTTGCATTCAGAAACTGGATTATATGGCAATGTAGATGGGGCCTGAGAGAAGAGGGAGTGGTAATACTGCCTACAAAGATCTGGCTGTTCTGAGCTACTGGGGTAAGGGAAAAGCAGAGCACTGAATTGGAGAGTGCACCCTTATCTCTTCCCTCATCTGATTGAGCGGAGACCAGCTGCTTCTCTGTGGTTTAAATATCCACACACACACCTTGATCCCAGTAAGCAACAACAGCAATGGTTCCTCCTTGGTGATTAGAGGCTATTGAACTGCATAGACGTGGGAATTCAGTCTTAGTTTGCCAAATGCTCAAATGTTTATAGCCTCCCATCTACTGCTTGTATGAATGGTCACTTGTAATGCAGTTATAACTTTTTGCACTTTCAGCATTTCATTTTCAGTTCCATACCACATACAATCACCAACTAGTATGTATACATACCTGTAATGTGGCAACACTTTTCATGCATCTGATGAAGTTGATTGAAAGCAGACTCCATGCCACTGAGCTTGACCCAGGAGATGTTGTCTCTTGATTCAATAAAGCATGTTTGTTTCTGAAATGGAAAATGGAAAAGAATAATATTCTTGACAACTCCCTGCCTCTCAGCCTCTTGAAAATCTGCTCGAAGGTGAGAAAGATAGCACTGTTAAAAGGAAAAGGAGGATATGTCATCGCCATACTTCTTCTATGCAAAATGAACTATATTCAGTGTTTCAGTCCATCAAAGGTGCAATGAAACAATGAATTCAAGCCATAATAAATGTGATGATGTTTAAGTCATTCTTCATTAATTTGAACAGACTAATAATCAAACAACAAAGATCTTAACACGCATGCAAAATGAACAATGGGATTCAGTATTTGTCAATATGTACTATGGAACCATTTCTTTTTTTAAAAAAATTCTTCAACTCCCCACATAGGCAGAACTGCAGGGAGTAACATGGGAAAAATTATTAAGACTATGGTGGCCAGCTCAGTGAACAACGGAACTCAGTATGCAATTATGCAGTTGGGTAATAACAGCCAAGCTGGGGAAAACTGGAACGCTGCTAGAATGAAAATGCTGCTATATAAATAATCAATGGGTCGGTAACATTTTGGAGTGCTGTGTACCATTCTTGTTCCCCTATATCTAAAAGATATTGGAAAGCTGGAAAATGTGCAGAAAGGAGGAACCAAGATGATTAAAGGATTGGTGCCTTTTGTTCAATCTGTCGAAAAGGTTTTGAAGGAGAGATGCAGTTTCAAAAACTAGCAAAGGTGGAACATGGTGAAGATTTAATTTAAAAAGTTAGCATGTGAAGATATGGGGTGAAGGGGAGGCAAAGGAAACTTTTTTCCTATCCTAAAACTTGAAGTAGAAACTGCCTGGTAGTACATTCATGAGAAGGGAAAGAAGTACATATATAATGCAGACTTGAGGGTTCCATCTTAGATTATGTGAACAGGTGATAGAGAAATTTGTGGTAAAAAGGATGAGTCAATGGCTCAGAGTTTGAAAAAACTACCTTTTTGGACTATTCCTAGAACCTCCAAGTCGCCATGCTGGCTGGCAGATTCTGTGAGTGGCAGTTCTTATTTCCTGTCTCTGCTAAACTTGGTCTTTTCTGGTGCTGTTGTGTTCTAACATTTATATTGACACATTACTTGATTCTGCTAACTTTCACTTACTTGTTTCTGATTTCACATGCTTGGAAGGATTTGGGCATTATGCTTTTGTATTCTTAATCTGCCCCGAGTCCTCTGCATAGTGAGAAGGGTGGAATATAAATATGATAAATAAATAAATAAATAAAATAAAGATAGGAGAGTTTTTCTCTAAAGTCTTTGTATAACATTTGATACTACAAAGGGGCACACTGACTCACTGTGAGTAGGGCTTTCTTAGATTCAATTGTACAAAAGTTAGGACTTTTTTGGATTCAATTGCACAAAAATTCAATTATGTTCTTTGGCTGAGCAGAGAGTCCTAGGTTTCCGATAACTCTAGCTCGACACTCAGACCACCACACTGCACTAGCTTTGAGTAAGAACAGTACAAGAGTAAGATACCCACCAAATGTCCTGTCATCCCACATTTTCAACTGCTTTAACTGTAAATTCAGGCAAAATCAATGTGCTACACCCTGTCATAGCTTGG